AATTTTTGGTGCACAGATGCTGAAAGCTTCTCCTCTCTTGGTTCTGGTTCTGGGGATGCAGAGCAGACCAGAACCAGAAGACCTGAGAGATCTGGAAGGTTGATACAACAGCAGATCTTTGATGTATTGTGGTGCTAAACCATTCAGTGATTTATAAACTAACAACAGTATTTTAAAGTCTATTCTTTGAGCTACAGGGAGCCAGTGGAGGGACTTTAAAACTGGTGTTATGTCTCTATTTCCTGGTTCTAGTGAGAAACGCGAGCAGCAGCATTCTGGATCAGTTGCAGCTGTTTGACTGATTTGTTGGACAGGCCTGTGAAGACCCTGTTACAATAATCAATGCGACTAAAGATAAACACATGAATGAGTTTCTCTAGATCTGGCTGAGACATTAGTCCTCTAATCCTGGAGATGTTCTTCAGGTGATAGAAGGCCGACTTTGTAATTGTCTTTATGTGGCTCGCAAGGTTCAAGTCCGAGTCCATCACTACTCCCAGGTTTCGGGCCTGATCGCTAGGTTTTAGTTGTAATAACTGAAGCTGTGCATTGACTCTAGATCGTTCCTCTTTAGGTCCAAAAATAATGACTTCAGTTTTGTTTTTGTTCAGTGGAGAAAGTTTTGGCACATCCACACATTTATCTGCTCTAAGCATTTATTCGGTGATTGGATGGGTTCACATTCACCTGGTGACATCGTAATGTAGAGCTGAGTATCATCTGCATAGTTATGGTAGCTAATATTATTTCCTGTTATAACCTGAGCTAGTGGGAGAATATAAATATTGAATAAGAGGGGTCCTAGGACTGAACCTTGGGGTTCCCCACATGTGACCTTTGACCTCTTTGATGAGAAGTTTCCGATTGAAACAAAGAAATCCCTGTTCTTTATGTAAGATTCAAACCAGTCGAGCACCGAACCGGAGAGTCCAACACAACTTTCAAGTCGATTCAGTAATATATCATGGTCGACAGTGTCAAAAGCTGCACTGAAGTCCAACAGAACCAGCTGTGTTTCCCCCACAGTCCGTATTTATATGGATATCATTGAATACTTTTACGAGGGCAGTCTCCGTGCTGTGGTGAGCACGAAAACCAGACTGGAAAGAGTCAAAGCAGTTGGTCATCATGAGGAAACTATTTAATTGTTTACACACAGTTTTTTTCAATAACTTTGCTGATGAATGGGAGGTTTGAGATTGGCCTGTAATTCTGTAATAGTGATTTGTCCAGGTTGTTCTTTTTTAGCAGTGGTTTGATGACTGCTGTTTTCAAAGCCTGGGGAAAACACCTGATCTGAGTGATGAGTTTACTATTTGGATCAGATCAGTAGCAATAACAGGCAGGACTTTCTTGAAGAAATGTGTGGGTAGGACGTCCAGACAGCAGGAGCTTGAACTTAATTGACTTATAATAAGAACACAGTGAGTTCATCATTTAGCCAAGAAACATTTTTTCTCTTTAAATTCTTGTCTGGAAAAGGCAAAACTGCATTCCTGAGCTTGGACTTAATCCACACTAATAAAGTGGGAGCGACTGTGGATTTAGCCACAAAGCTTTGCTTAGTTTTCAATCCCCACAGTCAGAAGAAGAGTTGAATAAGAGCATATGGAGAAACCATTTATGTAAAAAAGAATTACACTAATTAGCTGAATGTAGTTTGTCTATAAATAGGTTCCCATTCATGTTTATGCCGTTTCTTAACAAAAAAGGAGATTAAAACTACTTTTAGGACTCAAACTTCTGCAATCTTTGACACGTTAGCCATGACATGAAAACCTGGAAACAGCACATTAACACACTTGATGCATCAGGCACAGCATCAGCTTAAGATGCAACATTTCAGCACTGGGATCTGTCACCACAAGCTAATGGGGGACCCAAGGAAGCGTCAGAGTTAGACAAGTGAATGTTATTAAATGAAAAGATTTTTCTGTTTTCCACAAAGCTTTCATTGAAATGCTGCATTTTCTGTGAACATACGGACACAGAGACAGATGGATGAACAAAAGAACAAATACAGACAGTTCATATAATTTGATTTGTTTGAGGCACTTTGTTCTTAAGTAAACTCAACAGAAACAGTATCAGATATCTCATCAGCCAAAGAACAAATTGATTTTCAGAGCATGGACAAAACCTGCAGAAAACAAAATCAGTTCTCTTCTCAGTTCATAGAAAGCCAGCCATAAACTAAATTGGTTTGGAGGTTTTTTTATATTATTATTATTATTATTATTATTATTATTCATGTACACTAAATACATGCAAACCATTATTAATTTACAAACTAAAGTACAAAAGTACAGAGACCTCAAAATGTGGTTCTCCTCATTAAGCCACATAACAAAAACTGCACAAAGTCCCCTAAAATAGCCAAACAGCCATCATTGTCCTTTCCTTTGCATATTTATTTTCATTTTATATGCTGACATTTTAACTAAATATTGAATTCTGCAGTGCAGAGGTGAATTAAAACAAGGCATATAAAGTATTAAAATACAGGCTGAGTCATAAAACGTGCCAGAGTTGTTCCTGAATCTCTACCAGGAACAACTCTGTCCAACTTACCGAAATAAAGAAAATAAAACAAAGCCAAATCTGACTTGAATTTCAAATAACAGGTAGGTAGGTTGAGTACGTAAGAGGAATATACATAATAAGTTTTCAAATGGGGAGAGTTAACAATTACTGATTATATTTTGAACATAGATCCGTATTTCATTTTTTTACTGTTTACAATAATGGTTTCTAGAGTCAAAAGCAATACACTTTAAGTTTGGATCTGAATTAAACTCGTGTAATTTCAAGTACAAGGGCTTGTCAAGCAGCTTGAAAACAATTTATGTAAAATGTTTTTTTTTCACTGATTTTAATAACTAACATAATGTTGGACTTGGACCTTATCATAAGGATGAAAAGCTGCTAAAAACATATGCACACAAGAGAAATGAGTAATTGAAATTCATAGTTTTTTTGATTTTACGTGTGCCATGAAGAAGGAATGCAATGATATGAATCATGAATAGCCACATTATTATTGATATTAGACATAGCAAACAAAAATGTCATTTTACTTTATGTCTTACAGCAGCACTTTTACCTATTATGGAACTGAGTCTATCATATCAGTGACTGAGTAACACACAGTTAAGCCAATCAGCAGAACTGAAGCAATCTGTCAATTTGAATCTAATATCCATTAGGAAAAGCAGCTTTGGAAAGGAGAACAAAAACAACATAGATTCAAATGCTGATGGCTTTTATAAACAACCGCTGCCATATAAATCACCGCTATCCAGCTCATCTTCTTTCAGCGAAAAAGCGGTAATAACAGCCTGAGCGACATAAATTATTTCTGATCATTCATGACAGCTTGGTGGGGAAACATTTTACAGCCCAGTAATTTGGGAATACACTATCTTCGCTTTGAAACTGTTTCTGGGAAAATAAGACACGTTTCATGCATGCTCTGCATACTTATGCTTGGATTCTGCTCTGTGATGTAACTTTGTTATGCTCCTTAGAGTTTAGCTGAGATGTTTAGTACTCCAATTGAAGCAGCCTAATCACTTGTGGCATCCACTCAGGAACAGTAAACCACTGATTTGTTACGTCTCCATAACAAAATAGCTGGAGTTTGGGCCAAGTCAGGGAATATTTGTGCCTCCAAAACTATATGCTATAGCCACATGTAAAAAGCTGATAAAAACATATTTTGTTGGGATACCAGATGCAATGAAACTGTGCAACATAAATTACCCAGAGTCTAGATTGTTTTTGGCAATAGCCACACAGTAGCAAAACAAAGCCAGTTTAGTAAGTAGGCACTAAAGAACAGGAGGAGAGGAGAATGATGTGGACCAGAACATGTGGCAGGTTATGTATGAATCAGTAAGGTCTCCGTTGTATTATAGGGCCAAAGGCTTTCAGATACGGATAAAAGATTGTTGACAAAAGAGAAAAGAAAAAGCCAATTATATTAACCTGTTGGTGTCGTTTTCAAAGCTTTCTCAAGTTGCAGAGAGGTTATTATAATTATTGCTGAAACTGTAGACAGAGTAAAGATAATGAAAGCAAAAGAGCATTTGAAACCATATCCTGGGGGTCCACAGGTGTCTCACTTTGATTATGATCACTGAAAAATCCTGAAAGTGCATTCATGCATGCCAGTACCAGTTGGAAGCAGTTATACGTACAATTTGAACAGGTAGCACTTCAAGACCAGTAAAGTTTTAATTATACCACTCCTACAGAGCAAAGCATTTTAATTGGGGTGCCAGAGATGAGCTGAAGTGACTGGAGCTTCATTTATCTGTATGGAGGGTACAGTACAGTCCTGCCCAACCCCCACATGTTTCTGGACACCTCCACTCAGATTTTAGAGTGGGATCAACACGTAGCAACCTTTGTGAGATGTATGCAGGAACTAAAGAATGATCAAACAAAAATACTGAGAATTGAGATTACTCAAGGATGCATCTGCATACTCACCCTGAAACAGCAGTGAAAAAACATAAAAAGAGGGAGGCCAGTTGAAGATAACACAGAACGAAAACAGATAAGGTTCAGAAAAAAAAAAACTAGAACAATAGTTGAAATCTCTTGTAATAAAAATGGTCTTCGGAGGCAGACGCTCACACCGTGGAAAAGTGAGCAGAAGCATAACTGACCAATTTGTTTGAGACTTTACTCTCGTATTTTCTTGTAATATTTTGATCCCAATGCAATAAAACAATAATTGTGTACATCTGGTAATTCAAGTAAATAAGATAAATAAATATAAATAAGATATTGCTTCTTTTACCAAAGCAATTTTAAATCTGTTATAATGGAAGAACATTACCACACAAGCCTGCTGATTGTCACTTTATCTGGTCATTTTCACTCATAGATGGCTGACATCTCTCCTCTATCAGCTCATGTCAAATCATCCTCTAAGTGTCAAATGTGGAAAAGAAAAAAAAAATAATAATCCAGTCAGGAGAATGTCATCTCACCTCAGCCTCTCCTCCTCCTTCTTCCTCAGCTTCATGTCACGTTGAACCACTTTCAGCACATGCTCTGCCTCGTCATCTGTTAGGCCCGACAGGTCCAGCTTGCGTCCCATTGTCCCTGGCCTCGCCACTCTGAGCTGCTGCTGGTCAAGGAGGGGAGGAAGAGCAGAAAGAGGAAGAGGAGGAGGAGGAGAGTCACAGGTGTCGGTGCTCAGGGGGCCAAGGCTGGGACAACCCTGTGGACAGGCAAAGGAAACAATTAAACAATTTTTTTTTTTAACTGTCTGTGAATTTGGCAAACTAATTTACTCCTCATTAAATAAAGAAATTAGGACGTTAACATGTAGAAAGATTCAGGACTCTTCTTTTTTTTTTTAGATATGTCCTATATAAAACAAAAATGTCTTTCTTTCAGCATGCAAATGATTCTGCAATGCCTGCTTTTTCTGACTTGGGAACGAGATTAGTCTTGCCAGTTTTTGCCTGCAGGACCCACTTTCAACCCAGAGCTGATGAAGACTTTCTGGAAGGATTTCTTCCTTTAATTTGATCCTTGAAACTGTTCTGGACGGAACATTGGACCTGTCAAACATGTCCACTGAAGCTCATTTCAGGAATGTTATGAGAGCATTTCATTAGACTCTGGCTGAAATACCAGCCTGCAATTCACCATACTTTAAAGTTCTGTAAAATGAAATTATGTTACATAAAATTTACAAATGCCAAATTATCCTGAAAGTGGATTCTTCCTAATGCATTTGGCTGCAAAGATAATTCTATTAAAATGTCCAAGAAGAAAATTTAAAGCGCTTCTTCTGTGTTTTATTTAACACACACTGTTAATAATACTCCCCTCCGTAAGAAAGCAGAGTATAAAGCAGGGCACAGATTAGGCCACAATGAGATAATCATATAATTACTAGGACAATATCTTCGAAAGGGTGGTGTCCACAACTCATTAAACTTTTGGATTATGCATGCTTTAGCAGCATTCGTTGGCTGCAAGCAAAAATAAATTAATAAATAAATTACACCTTTGAATCTGTTTGCCATTTTGGGTAATAAGATCTGATTTTCTCTAGCAACAGCACAGAGGTGAAGTGTGTCTTCTGTCAACACAGACAAATATTAAAGCGACACAATATCAAGTAGCACTTTGTCCAGCAAAATAAAGACTTAGACTTAGACTTAGACTTCCTTTTTTGTCATTGTACAAAAAAAACACAAGGTGAATCTTGACAACGAAATGTCGTTACTTGGCTACCAGTGTAGCAGAGCTAAAACCTTATACTACCCAATAAATAAATAAATACAAGTGCCATAGAATACACAGGTTCAGTGTTGTGAAAAAAACTAAACTAAAGTGCATTTATTGACCATGTCCATTGGGGGGTCATTTGGTTTGTGAGTGTGTGGAGGGGTGTTATGTGGCGTTAAGCAGTCTGATGGCCCGGGGGAAGAAACTGTTCAGTAGTCTGGTTGTTCTGCACAAGATGCTGCGGAACCTTCTTCCAGACGCCAGGGGGGAAACAGTCCATGGTTGGGGTGGGTGGGTCGGAGAGGATCTGGTGAGCGCGAGATAGGCAGCGCCTCTCTGCGATGTCCTTGATGCAGGGGAGCAGAGCCCCCGTGATCTTCTCCCCTGTCCTCACCACCCTCTGTAGAGACTTCCAGTCAGAGGCCCTGCAGCTCCCAGACCAGATGGAGATGTAGCTGGTCAGTTGGCTCTCGATGGTCCCTCTGTAGAAGGTCTGAAGGATGGGGGGCGGGAGGGATGCTCTCTTCATCCGACGCAGGAAGTGCATGCGCTGCTGGCCCTTCTTCACCAGTGAGGAGATGTGGGGAGCCCAGCTGAGGTTGTCGTTGATGTGCACCTCCAGGAACTTGGTGCTGCTGACGACCTCCATTGCTGAGTCGTTGATGAGGAGTGGTGTGTGGGTGGGTCTGGATTTCCTGAAGTCTATGATGATCTCCTTGGTCTTGTTGACATTCAGGATCAGGTTGTTTCCTCTGCACCAGTCCACCAGATGCCGCACCTCCTCCCTATAGGCCGTCTCGTTGTTGTCCCGGATGAGGCCCACCACTGTGGTGTCGATCGCGTACTTCAGGATGTGGTTGGATCTGAAGTGTGGACGGCAGTCGTGGGTCATCAGGGTGAACAGCAGGGGGCTCAGGACACAGCCCTGAGGGGTGCCGGTGTTCAGGGTGATGACATCGGAGGTGTTGTTCTCCATTCTGACAGCCTGGGTTCTGTCAGTGAGGAAGTCCAGTAGCCAGTTGCAGAGGGGGTGTTAATTCCTAAGGGGCCCAGTTTGCCCACCAGGTCTTGGGGGATGATGGTGTTGAACGCTGAGCTGAAGTCCAGGATCAGCATCCGCACGTGGGTGTTCTTCTCCTCCAGATGCTCCAGGCTCAGGTGGAGAGCAGTGGACTGCATCCTCAGCACTGCGCTTGGACTGGTATGCAAACTGGAAAGGGTCGTGTGATGGGGGGAGCGTGGAGATGATGTGGTCCTTAACAAGTCTTTCGAAGCACTTCATGATGGTGGATGTCAGTGCGACAGGGCGGAAGTCGTTAAGGCATGGGATGGTGGTCGTTAAAGCACGTGGTTTTATTGAGCGTGTAAGCCCTGGCTCCTTTCGTTTCTCCTGGTTATTTCAGGACTCACTTCACTGCAGACTCTCGTTGAATTTAACAGCTTTACCAAGAAAAACAAGCCTGAGATGCTGCTTCTGGCTTCTCAAAGCCTGAATGAAATCTTTGACTCCGTTTTATCCTTGAACACGTCTCAATCAGGCGTTTTTCAGTCGTTTTACCAGTGGGATAATTCTCAATGCCATAAGCAGACGTGCAGGAATGCAGAGGTGAGAAAGAGGCTTATGTCACATTCGCCGGTGCCGGAGAATGACGTCTAAATCTGGCAGTCGCACAGATCTGTTATCAAGCAGCGTGAATAGGCTGCAGACTGTCGCCTTGCCATTCACACATGCTCCCTATTCAGCTGCTGCTATAAGACACCTAAATCCTCGTCCCTGCTAAAGCGTTCCAGCCTGAAACAGAGTGACACTTTATTCAAAAGATGAATGAATCCCGACATGTGTGACTATGTGAAGTCAAATGTCACCGTGTGCCCCCACAGTTTGCAACCTGCACGTGTTCAAGTAGATCTGTAATTATATTTGCACATGGAGAAGGTTTAGCTTCTCCATGTGGGAAGCTAAACCTGAGTATATTTACCACTCACATGTTTGTTTTTGCTTTAAAAATGACTTTTTATCCATTCATGCATTCATTACGTCTAATGGAGCCCTCATAAGCCCAGAGGCAGGTTTCATCTCTGCTGTAATATATATTGTCATAAACATTCAAGCAACATCACTTAAGAACCTGAACTGTTCAATACACTGATATCTTGTGATGAATTTAAATTCCACCTGAAAACTCAGAGCTTAGAAACAAACACCACAACATTATTGAGTCTACTTAGACTTAAAAACATATAAGGAACTGAATACTGCAATCTGAAAAACCAGGACACATTTTATAACCTTGAGCTTTCTGTCAGTAATAAAGACCCTTACTTGTGACACTTAATGTGAAAGTTTATGCATATTGAAATAAGACTATCTGTCTGTCTGTCTATTTCTAATGTTGGGAATACTTGCCACCTTAGCAACTTCATTACAAGAAATTCTCTTTGTAAAACATAACCAACACTCTGTAGAGCAAGTCTTATCTATTCACTCACTTTCTATACCAGCTTCTCCTTGTAGGGTCACAGGAGGGCTGATTCTCATTTCCAGCACTCATTGGGCAAGAGGTCGCCAGACACGCCTGACAAATAACCATCCAGATACACTCATTCCTAATTGTAATTTAAAGGGACCAATTCACATGACAGTCATGTTTTGAAATTGCGGGACACAGAACCCACGCATGCATGGGAAGAACTCCATGTGGAAAGGCCCTTGGCCAATAGTCAAACCCAGGAACTTGCTTCTGCAAAGCAGCAGCACAATCAACTGCACCACTGTGACAAATGTTTGATAAGTAATTGCGGTTTTTAAGACTATTTCTCACTCTTTATCACTAATGCATTTATCTTCATCCAGCTTCCTGGATGCCTCATGAGATTCAATCAAGAATCCATCACTCCTTATATCCACAACAATCCAAAACTACTTGCCCCACATGAAAAATGGTCTTGGTCAAGGCTTAGATTGTAACCGTCAACATTCATGTGACAGAAACTTGAGTTATCCAACAAAGAATCATTCTCCGAGCTGTCAAATCTGAAGGACCTATGCGTCAAAATCTATTTACAACCTAATCTCAGCAAGAACATTTTCAAAAGATCATGATCCTACTTTCCTATTACCTTCAAATCAATGCTCCAACACCAACAGAAACTGTGGTGTCTTGATTTGTCGAATCTAAAGGAAGGAGTGATGGATATGCCATGACAGCACCATCATTACTGTATGACTGCAAGGCATTTATTTAGGTCTTCTATATCGTGCGTGGCGTGAAAGGCTGGGGACTGAGCTCCAGTCATGTCTGAACTAAAAGTTGCAGTCGTCCATGCACTTCATACATAGATATTACACACATGGTAGGAGAGGCTACTTGGTGTTTTAAGCTGCACATGGTTGACTCAACACTGACCCATAGAACTGTCCCTGCTGCACATGATAAAAAAAATCATGTCATGCAGATGGAGTATAAAAAATAATGTGCCTTTCACACATTATCAACAACAGCGCTGTAGATGCTGTTGTTGCTGAAGATTGCAAGTCTTTCAAACAAAAAAAAATTCTTGTTGCATAATAAGGAGTGGTTGAACGTGTACATCCTTTCTTCCCAGTTTGCAAAGTAGTTTTAATCAACAAACTTCCAAAATAGCCAAAACATCACCCACAGCTTTGTTTTTATGCACAGATTTTAGATATATTTGCTTAGCCGTATATAAAACATTAGACATTTAATTTACAATTTAAGGAAACATTAGTTTTCTAGAAAGGCCAGTGACAAAGCAATTCATTTTCGGTAAATATAGCTGTTGAAAACTGGTAGTGTCATGATGTCTGGGTGTATAATATACTTTCCAGGCACATTTTACAGGACAATCAAGTAACTATATTGTCTTCAGTTGTCATATAAATGCTGAATATTTGAAACATAACCTAAAAGAAATTTGACTTTGCGAATTGACCCCTTCAAAATGGCCTCTGTCTCTTTAAGAAGCTCCTGCTCAAACAAGCAATCTGACTTTAGTGCCACACGGAAACAATGTTAAAGCCTTAAGCATGAATGTAGCAGTGCTGGTTCATTGCTCAAAGTGAAAGGAATAATGAAGGAGGAAACTTTCAACACGTTGAACAATTTGACCTGAAGCATTAAATGTGTGCAAGATTCCCAAGCGCACGTAAAAACTGGATAAAACAGTATGCTTTTGGAACGACCCAGACAGCAGCCCTTTTTAACAATGTATGAACTAGGCCATTGCAATTGCTGATGGAAAGATGGACTAGAGTTATGCCAAGGTCTTCCTCATTCTCAGTTTCTTTCCTTGCAAATAAACAACTTTCATTCTGACATCAGTGGGTTTGTATGTAAGCTGGCATGGATTATTTTGATCCTTTGTGAATCCAAAAAGATCCACAATAAATCCAGGAACTTAAAAAAAAACTTTTAAATGATCAATCCACTGCTCCAAAAATGATGCATTTTCACCTGCAGTATCTAGAATCTAACCTGGAACATACAGATAATTTTAAAAGTAAATTATAGTTAGTAATTTTACACCACTAATTAGCTTACCAGTTGAGAAGCACCATATGTTCCAGGTTTGGTGTCAAACTTTATTTTTAGGTTTGCAAAAAAAAAAAAAAAAAAATTGCAGCAAAGAGAAACGTGGTAATTTTTCACAAATTTGTTTGGTAAGATTTTCAAAAATGTAAACAGCTTGGGTGTTTTTCAGAAGCTCAGATAGTGCACACAATGAATATTTCACATACTACTTGATCTGTAACATTCTGGCTCAACCAGTCACTGTGTCTGATAGAGAATACAAAAAGACAAGGTCGGGCATTTGGTTCACACTTTGATTGGCACGACACGAAAGTCCACCAGTGTAATACTTTCAAACTACAAAAAAAAACACCTTCAAACTGACACTCTCACTTAACGGGACAGGTAGTATCTGGAAAAATAGGTCAAATCGCTTCATCTCTCCTAGAGAGCGGAACTGTGAGGTTTTTGTTTGGGGTTTTTCTGCACTAATCACTCTCAGTGCTTCTTCTATATGCAGCAAAATAAACCTTTGAACTCAGGTGTACCCAATTAAAACCCACAAATAAATCTCACCCGACGCCATCGTGCAGAGCTCTTGGCTGTGCTGTGATCTGTCACCTCAGAGAGCCGGCAGATGATGGACAAACTGAGAACAAGGCCCTACTGGAGCACTAAAAGGGCAGATGCAGCCAAGCGCAAAATGAACTGCTTGTTTTAGACCCTCTCCATTGTGTTGGCTTTTTTTCACAGCAAGTGAGAAGGAGATTGAGACTGACTCCAGATAAATTATTATTTGGATGCTGAGTACAATAAAACGGGCTGACAATGAGTGAGGTGTGACGGTGGCTTTTTATTTTATTTTATTTTTTTATCAGATTTGTTCTCTATTGTGATTTAAATTATCGGGAAAGCGCTCCATCAATACTTTGCAATTAGGACTGCACCAAACAGAGGCTTCCAGTTTGATCCTGCTGAAAGATGACAGGCAACACTCAAGAATCTAATTTTCTTCCAATAAATGAATGCATCATGATCGATTTGGTGCTGGAGCCCGCAAAACCCTGAGGAACTTTTTACTCTGTGAAAAACTGTACAGATATTGAACTTATCAAAACAGACTAATTAAAAATAATCAATTTAAGGGTTGGCTTTTTTACCTTTATCTTTCCATTGAGCAATTTCTATCAAAAAAGGAGAATAATTTTGAATTCCTTTTGTTTTGAATCAAGACTTAAACAATTCATGTTGAGATTCAAAAAATAAATAAAAATGACTGATAGAATTAAGAATTAAATGTATTACAAACAAACCGCATCGGCACAGAAGACCCACAATGTGACATTTGTCTAGTGCACAATGTCACCTTCAGCAAATCTACAGACTGAAACTCTGACTGTGAAGAGTACATTATTTCTTGCAACCATAAATTTAGAATTATTTGTCTGAAAAGTGAAAGCTTAGACTACGGTGTAAATTATTTTTGATGATTTATTTGTTGATGGGACTCTGTCTGAATTGAAAGATTCTTTTAAGTTCTCGTTCGAATATGTTTCTTTTATAGAACAGGGTTCCACAACACTTTATTTGACATGACACCATCATAAACATGAAGGAGTCCTCATGAATGTCTATGGCTGTTGTTATGAATTGTCATTTGGAAAATAAGGACACTGTTAATGCAAAGTTGCATTAAAAGTCAATTAAAAGTGCAAATTTTGCATTATTTGGACAATGACAACCTTTTTAAAACAAAGCTCTGTTAAAATTTGCTGTAAAAATCTATTAAAAGTGTCAATTTGGACTAAACGTGTCATTATTTAGCGAATGACACTTTATGACAGCAGTCATGAACATTCATGAAGACTCCTTCATATTGGTGACAGGCATTGCGTCATATTTATGACAGTGCCATGTCAGTCTTATGCACACCCCTTCACATAAAGCTTCACACTAGAATGTGTCAGTTTACAAGAAGCAAAGACTTGAGAAATTTTTATTTCAGTGATTGAGCAAAAACATTTGTTGTTTTCCGTCACTGAATCAACTCTCAAAGCACTAGAAAGAGGACGTCCTGTCTAATTCTGAGATTGATTAAAATAAGAGGATATAGAAGAAAGATAAAACCAAGTTGTAGAACAAGCCTTGATCCACCGGTTTTCAATATCAAAACTCATCAGAACTACAATAGGGCTGAATCCCAACATAATTGGCTGTTTACTCTGATGCAACACAGTCACACAAGTGCTTTCCACCTACTTACTGTCAAACCAGATTTGCTCGTTGCAAGTCAGACAGACAGGTGTGATTCTGGACTCCAAAACACATCTCCTCTGCAGAGTCGGTGTGCTCTACACTACTGCATCTGACTCTTTTCATTACGCTTGTCAATATAAAGCTTGGAGGCAACTCTATGGGCTCAGAAAGCATTTGAAACTCTCTGAAGGCCAGTTTTTGGTAAATCTGAGTGTTACATGCAGAGTTTGAGATCTCTGTGCATTATGTGCTTACCCCGCTCTGGAATTGCATAACGTTGGCCCACCTGAATGAATTACCGTCATTCCTAAGAGCTTCCACTTTGTTAGAAAACAACTTACAGTTGATAAAGGGAAATATAACAGTGAGGCAATTTTGGAACTTGACAAACTGCACAGCAAAATACTAGAATTGACTGATCACTAAAAGCAAGTTATTCCTTCACAAATGTTCACAGAACTAGTCTGCAGATCTGGACATAGAAATTATTTCTATGGATGAGTTAATGCTGTGTAAAGGGTAGATGTGTATTTTTGCCCCAAAGATCCTGCTGTTGGTCAAGATGACACTAAAAATTACCAGCAGAGTAACCAGAAAATGAAAAATGAAATTGGAGCTAATGTTTCACTCTAAGCTAGTAACATCTGAAAGAAGGTTAAGCAAGTACCATCCAAATATTAGAACGGAGGTGCTTTAAAATTCTTCTCTCAGGGGGAGTATTTGATCATTTATCACTTTTTGACACCTGCCTGCTGAGCCACATCAGTCACCACCCATCCCATCGACGCACAGCTACAAAGGAAGCTGCTGCATCCGCCTGGGAAGATGCCCTCACAATCTCCAGCACCCGTCAAACACATGCACGAGGAGTCACGCTCTCACCTGAGGTGTTAAAACGAAAACAGTTGAGGACTGGGTATGACTGCGTGATCGTGCATGATGTGATGGAGCACAGGCATTTAAAAACGGAGGAATTCGTTCAAATTTGTGGGGTGAATGCTCTCTTGCTGCATTCCAAGATGGTCCTCCCTGTTGTCAACAGGTGCGAAGTCAACAATGAAACACACACACACACACACACACACACCCACACCCACACATACACACACACACACACACGCACACACACACACACACACGCACACACACACACACACCCCCACACCCACACATACACACACACACACACGCACACACACATACACACACACGCACACACACACACAAACAAACAAAACCTACAATACAGCATAGTGAGCCAAGCTGGGATTTTCAGCCTGCATTCCTAGGGAAAAGGGTCAAAGTTTCTTTCCCTTACAATGCTCCCGAGAGCATGGATTCAGTGAGGGGCAATCGCTTCACTTAATTCAAAAAGATGACTCACACTCTGCGCCTCCAGGACCCCCTTTTTGGTTTTTCCCTCCCAGCATCATGAGCCTGTCAGACACCTGCTCGTTTTAACCCCTGCGTGATTACATCAATTCTCTGCTTCTTTCATTTTGAAGGAACCACCTATTCACCCAACCCTGCCACGTTAGCTGTGGCTGGATGATAACATCTGTGCCAAATGTTGCAGGAGGCTCAAGCATCACTCTCCTCCTCGCGACGTCTAAGCGCGCACTGTAAACAAGCCGATCTAAAAAAAAAAAAAAAAAATCAAGAAATAAATAAATAAACGGATGCTGGTGTGCTTCCTGCCCGCTCGTTGCATCGTTCAAAGCCTGCTTGCGGTGAGAATCACTTACACGGGATCAGCCGGAGCCGGATGACCGCCGGTCTCAGCCTCCTTATTCCAGATGCTGACCAAGAGACGCGGAGGGATGCGAGCGTAAACTTCCGCGACACCTGTCAGCCTGTCACCCGGTTACTTTTTGCCTCCTCTCTGCACCAGCTCGACTGGTCGGCTTATTGTTCCCCCTCCTGCCCACCACCCCCCATTAAAGCACGCCAGGCACCGGTGAATGGGTGATCACGGGGTTTGTATTAGAGGAGGAGGCAGGAGGAGGAGGAGCAGGCAGGGCGCACGGCGTTACGAGGTGAGCGACCAGGCACCTAACCTTGATTTCTTCCTGGCGCTCATGAACACTGATCGCGATGGAGCTGCGGATGAGGAAAGGATTTAGTGATTGGAGATCTGCGCTATTTCGTGACTGGCCGATCTGACGTTAAATGCAGTAGGCTATTCTCCTCTGCTGGCACCTGGGTATCCTGCACTCCAGTCTGCCTCTGATGCTCCTGCAGGAGGAGGAGGAGGAGGATGAGGAGCCATTCAATGCAGTCAAATCACAGAGAGGCAAGAAAAGTTTGGCAGGAAGTGTAAGCAATCCCCCAACCTAAAGCAATGGGCAAAGTGATTTGCATTCAAGTTTGTTTCTCAATTACATAAATAAATAAACATATGAAAATATAGGCGTATGAATTTTGGAGAACATAAGTCAGCTTCTGTTTTCGTTCATTTAAGAATGTGTGAAACTGTTTTTGTCTAACTCTAAACAATGACAAAATGAATTCTTTTAGAAATGAAGCCCTTCTTAGCGTTTTACATGTTTCAGCTTGTATTTTCACGGCTTGCCTTTACCAACAGGATGCAACACAGTTAAAAGTGATGAGTTCAAAGTCTTTGGGTTTTGGAAGACCTCCTTGCCATCACCCTAATCTTAAACTCTCTAAAGATTCTTTGCCAGATTCAAGTCAGGACTCTGACTGGGTCTCCAACAAATCAATATTACTTCCAGTGAGAAGAAATATCTTGATAAAAACAAAGGGATGCATGAAAACCAAATCTACCTGCAGATTTGATCATTTTTTGACTTATGTGCAATTTTGGGATTTAAGTGGGATTTAATGTGGGGGTGCACTAATATGTACCTCAAAGGAAACAACAGTTATAATAACATTTAAAAGCTTTTTTTCCCCTTTAGTTTTATTACAATCTATTACTTGAATTTTTGTCAAAACTGATATGGAATATATTTATTTGTCCAAATATGTTGCAAAAACACAACCTCTCATAAGCTTTCCCTTTTTAATGTAGTTAGTTTTGGGCTTTCTCACAGTTTCACTAAACTGCATCAATGCATCAAAATGTTATGTTGATAACACTTTCTGTCTATGCAAGTCCATTTATTGTTGTTTAATATTACTATATGGAGGACAAATAAGTATTAAGAACTGTGGTAAAAAAAAAAAAAAGTCTCAGTGGAAAAACTTTATGCTCACAAACGACAGGTCACTATAATTAGACCTGGATTTATTTTAGTGTTGTTGCAACTCTGCTACGGCTAGAGTCTGTCCCTGAAGCAGGAGCTATATTGCATCTTGTTTCCTCCCTTGAAGGAAGATGCAATACAGACTTCAACCCTTCAAAACCATGAGGACAAAATCAGTATCTGAACATTTATTTCATCCTCATTTTCCAATTTTACTGCCTAGCAGTAAAAAAAAATAAATGGAAAGTCCTCCTTCCGACTTTTTTCTTGACTTTTTTGGCATTCCCACTAAGCGAGTCCACATCTGATGTTTTCTGTTTATCAACTAAAGCTGATGATGTTCTCCAGTTTCGCACGGCCCTTGGGCTGCCCAATGTGGTCATGCAACCCTACATTTGAGAGCCATGGCTCAAAATGCTGCTTTTATTGTCCTGTTTTGAAGAAACTCCGGTGGAAACAATTGTGATTCACTAATATTTTACACATTGAGGAGGTTTAGATTTTCTGGCTCTAATATATATTTGTTCTTTTAATGACAGTCAGCACAACAAATACTTCCAGAAAGTTACAAGATCAGCTGCATCACTGTGCATTGGGCTGGCAAAGCACCACAGCTGGTCAAAGAGAGAGAGAAGAAAAGGCTCTCCGTTCTCTTTATTAGTGCACTTACTTCCCTTCAAAACTGCTGACTCTGGCGCACAGCAAAAAACACTTTCTGGGCTATTTGCCCTCCATGGTAAGATTTTGCAAAATAAGTAGTCCATCCAATGCTGCAATTACTTTATAGAGCATTTAAATCATCAGGGGGGAATGCTTTCTTCATCTTAAATTCAACTAACTACTTTCTAGAACACACAGTGAGTAGAAAAGCACTGCACACATCCTGTGCATTAGACCCTGTTTATGTGTGCAAAAATACTTGGATGAGTCACTGTATGCTCATATAAATTACCCTGACCTACATGAAGAGAATGTACAGAAATGTTTGCGGTGATGCTGCAGTGGTAGGAGTGCCTTAAACTGGAAAGCTGGAAGACAAATATGATGAAGCAGGGATTAAACCCAAATCTGGTTGTAACAAAACTGTTTTTCCTCCTACTGAGTCTTTGTTATGAAATGCACAAGACATTTACTGAACAAATTTGAACAGGATTCACTCTGCCATTCAGTTTAGGAGGATTGTGTTCGATGTAATGCAAACCTCATAGTTTATTAGATGTAAATTAAATATCTGGGATGTTTAAAAGGTTTTCCCTGAATGTGAGAAGATACAAATACCAGAAAGTCTAAATACATGTGGCAAAAAGCGTACTTCTGTTCAACACTTCCAGTAAAGCTCATCATAAGCTTCAAACATCTTGTAATCATGACATAAATGTGAATAGATGACAAAGGAAAATTAGAAACTGAAAGATTATATTTTCTTACATCTCCCTTGTATTGTTATTCCAGTTTCTTTCAAAAGTATTTTTACTGCCAGAACTTTTTCCATTTTTTTCTATCTCAATCCAAGTTACAGACAGCAGTGAACTTAAAAATACAGCCAAAGCTACAGTGGGGTGTTTCAGATTAAATTATATGATTGTACTTGAATAGCCCAGCTAAAGGCCAGATCTTAATCCAACTAAGAATCTGTGACATTTACAGCAGCTCTACATCCAATCTGATACTTAATATTAAAATGAAAACAGCCACAAGTTTTCAGTGTGCAAGCAGTCGAGACGCATCTCGACAAACCTCCAGACAAGTCTTTATCAGAAAAACTTTTCTTTTTTGTGGTTGCAATGTGACAAAATGTGGGGAACGTTCAAACGGGTGGAAATGCACCGGATGGTATTGCGTACTGCATGAAACCTATTGCAATTACTTTAACAGTCCCAGAAATCTCTAAGGGGGCAATAGTAAGAAGTAGTCACTGGGTCATTTTGTGCTGTGGCTGGGTTAAAATACACTCAGCAGGTCAGTGTGGCATAACTTAACATGCAAAGGGTTCTAAATTTGCTCCTAAAAGCTTGTCGGGCAGCAGTGACTGCTGAAGTGGAGCGACTGGTTCCACCATCCCTCTCAGATTCTCATGCTGGTGCGTTCATTATGCACTTATTGTCCACTTTGATATCTAATGTCTGTGTGTGTGTGTGTGTGTGTGTGTGTGTGTGTGTGTGTGTGTGTGTGTGTGTGTGGTGTGTGTGTGTGTGTGTGTGTGTGTGTGTGTGTGTGTGTGTGTGTGTGTGTGTGTGTGTGTGTGTGTGTGCTAGAAGTGGGGACTTGAGGGAAATTGTAGGGGGCAAGGAGGGACAATTATAGCTTCGCAAATCCCCTTTTGAGGTTTCTCTGAGGAGTTCTGTGCGTGGCGTTTGACGTCGTCCTTCAGCCAAATGTCAGCCTTCAAATCCATAAAACTAGACGATGAATCTCAACCCCGCTTTAGCCGACAGCGGGGACTGATACGTAAAGGTTCTGTTGAAGAAACAGCTCATTTTGAAATTTCAAAAAGATGTGCTTTTGTTGTACAGGAGACCACAATAGGCTTTCAAATAAGACCATTCACGGCATACAACAGTTACCAGAATTGTGCCTACAGAACCAAATAAAAGTATTTATTCCCTTTTTAACGTTTCAGGGTTTTTCTAGGTTGCAGACACAGACTTTGATGTGTTTTATTGCAATTCTCTGAGTCATAAATACAAAGTGGTGTAAATCTGGGAACTTAATGAAGCATGGTGTGGGCAGCATCATTCTGTGGGGACACTTTTCTGGAAAGGAGGCTAGTCAGAGCTGATGATAAGATGAACTGAGCATCAGAGGGAGCAATCTCTCCAGCTGAAGCTATAAAGTAAGATGACTCTTGAAGTAGCAGCCAATTTATGTTTTATTTGACGACAATATAAGAATTACTTCCACTCCCCATTTGGCGTTGCACTACAATCGGTAGCATTATTTCCCAGCATCGAGTTCATTTATGTAACCATTACAGTCGTAGCAAATTAGCGCATAAAAATGTTTAAGAAAATGAAGTTAATAAAATGACTCAAATGAGGCAGTAAATCACAGAGGGTAAAATAAAACTCAGATTTTTCTTTGCTCACTTTTCCAAAAATCTTAAAAATTTTGATTGTACGTGTTTTCAAGCGACCTATATTTGTTAAAATGTTGACTACACATTTTGCTTCATTGTTATATGGTTTGTTCTATTGGATTTTATTGGGTTTTTGCTCGGCCCTGCTTGCTTGCAACATTGGTGTGCTTTGTTGTTTTTTGGAGCAACGTGTTTATTGGGTTAATTTTGGTTTGTGTTTTATTGCTGTTTTATGTACAGACTTTATGTCATACTGCTTTAGTTGTGTAGTGTTAGCCTCTCTTTTTACATCTTTCCCATGCAGCTCGTATGAATGTGTTGTTGTTTCTTCTTATTCTGTCAGGTCTCTTGAATATTTTGCAGTTTCCCACACTCGTTTGTGTGTGCATCTTTTCGTTTAGATTTATTTTGGATTTTTTTCATTGCTGCTCCCTTGGTTTTGTTTTAGCTATGTGAATATTATTTATTCCTCCATCTTCTGTGAGTTGCCTCTGAGTCTCCTTTTGGCTCGACGCTGCTGAAATTAGCTTGTGTCAGCTAACTCCCATCTTCCCAGTTCTGCCAATTTGCCTTTTTGAATCTTTATCTCAGTGTTGTCCTCTGAGATTTTTT